TCAAAAGCCTTTCTCTGGAATTTGGAGTTGGAATAGCTACGGTAGGTTCTGAAGGGTGAGAGTTGTGATCTTGTGGTGGTGAAAAAGACCTTAAAAACATAAATCACAAAGTGAAAATTTATGAAATTTATTACAAAATTCGAGATTTTAACCTAATGAATAACACCATTATCAAAGTTAACAAATGAGTCGTATTTTCAAGTCTAAAATGAGCAGGTTAATGTCTAAATATGCAAGAAATTCCTGGAAGTCAACAAAAGGAAGATGGAAAACTGAATAATGAGTGAAAGACAGATAAAAAATTCCAGAAGATATGCACCCTCACGGGAAGTCAGAAAAAAACAAAAATAAAACAGTAGTGAGAGATCACTTTACAGTCAGCAGGTTTCCAGAAATTAGCAAGTTTGATAGTACCTATTGTTGAGGTGAGGTGGGGTGTTACCGAGTCCAAGCTCCCGCTCGCCACCCCACTACAGGCTGAGGAATCAGGAGGCGAGGTGTTGAGGCAAAGAATACAACTATTCGGAAAGCCAGCAGACTGAGAAGATGGCAGACTAGTGTCTCTGAAAAACCATCTTATTGGGGTCTGGCTGCCAGTTTCTTTTATAGAATCAGAGAGGGAAGTAAAGCAAAAAGGCAAAATAGAGAGGGAGAGGCAGTGAGGAAGTAAAGTGAAAAGGGCCATCAGTCTTGCAAAACGTGTCCTGGAATGGCCAGCCTCGGGGAGGGGATGTGTTAATTCAGCCATTTGCAGGTGGGCAGGGTCAGATTGTCTCCTTGTGAGCTGAACAAAGGCACTTTAGTTCAAGTGCCAGGCAGAGGAGCAGGGTTCCCTGCGTCAGGCCACTATGTGTGAAAGTCAAAGAAACAGATCCAACATGGAGTCTGATTTAGCTCTTCCCTGTTACAGGGGAGCAGAAATCTCAGAGCCCCTCTGGCGGAAGTGTAAATGGATATAGCCATTCTGGGGAGCAATTTGGTGGTAATTAAGTGTGCAAATACCAGCCATCCTCTCCTGGGCTGTATCTTAGGCTCTTACACAGGGAAGAGTATTAGGCTGTTCATCACAGCTTTTTTTTCCCCCCTCCACATTGCGAGGCATGTGGGAACTTAGTTCCCTGACCAGGGATCCAACCCGTGCCCCCTGCAGTGGAAGCGTGGAGGCTTAACCACTGGGCCACCAGGGAAGTCCATCACAGCATTGCTTGTTGTCATAGGCAGATGGAGGTAACCCAGAAACCCTTTGCCAAAAGAAAATATAATAAAATGCGGTGATGTGTATTGTAGAATACGATTCTGCAATTAGAAGCAATAAACTAGATGTATATACAGCAACACAATTAGATCTTAAAAGTCATGGTACTGGGTTTTAAAAAGTAAGAAACAGATCTAGTGCCATACTATTTATATATTCAAAGATCCCTCTGTATCCAAGGATACATGGAAAACACTAGAGAGTAGCTGCCTGCAGGGGTGAGGACAATGTGAATGAAAATTGGAGATAGAAGAGAAAATATAAATAAAACAAGAAGACCTTGCATGGGCTGATGATTATGTACCTAGAATGAAGTATTATTGAGTTAACTCTAAACTGGAAGTCAGAATAAAAGAAAGAACTGAAATGAGCAGGAAAATAAAGGACACGAGTAAAGCCAGCAAGCCCGCCCATAGACTGAAAAATGCACCCCACACGCAGAGCCAAGCAAGTGGACCAGAGATGATGCATTGCCGCGGCTCCAGTTCCCATCACATCCAGTCTGCTTTAATCACCGTTCTTGGGCTTCGGAGAGATGCCCCTCAAGTTCCCTATAATCACCCCTCTGGCCCTCTAAGGCACCTCAAGTGTATGTAATCCAGCAGACTGGCAGCTCTTATGAGGGCTCGCTCTCTCTCTGTCATTTTTTTTTTTTTTGCGGTATGCGGGCCTCTCACTGTTGTGGCCTCTCCCGTTGCGGAGCACAGGCTCCGGACGCACAGGTTCAGCGGCCATGGCTCACGGGCCCAGCCACTCCGCGGCATGTGTGATCTTCCCGGACCGGGGCACGAACCTGTGTCCCCTGCATCAGCAGGCGGACTCTCAACCACTGCACCACCAGGGAAGCCCTCTCTGTCATTTTTTTTCATCCCAATCTCCCAATTCATCCCCCCACCACACACACACACACACACACTCCTTTCCCCCTTGGTATCCATACATTTGTTCTCTACATCTATGCCTTTATTTCTGCTTTGCAAATAAGATCATCTTTACCATTTTTCTAGATTCCACATATATGCGTTAATATATGATATTTGTTTTTCTCTTCCTGACTTACCTCTCTCTGTATGACAGTCTCTAGGTCCATCCACGTCTCTGCAAATGATACAATTTTGTTCCTTTTTATGGCCAAGTAATATTCCATTGTATATATGTACCACATCTTCAGAATGACCATCATCAAAAAATCTACAGACAGTAAATGCTGGAGAGGGTGTGGAGAAAAGGGAACCCTCTTACACTGTTGGTGGGAAGGTAAATTGATACAGCCACTATGGAGAACAGTATGGAGGTTCCCTAAGAAACTAAAAACAGGACTACCATATGACCCAGCAATCCCACTCCTGGGCATATACCCAGAGAAAACACAATTCAAAAGCATAATTCAAAAATATACACACACCCTAATGTTCATTGCAGCGCTATGTACAATAGCCAGGACATGGAAGCAACCTAAATGTCCACCAACAGAGGAGTGGATAAAGAAGATGTGGGATCTCTTTTTGCCTCCTGCCCAGTAGTAGACAGAACACATCACTCTCACGTTCCCAGAAAACAGCAGTGCTAACAGAAGTATTGAGATCAACGGAGATTGTGCTGAGGAACCCGTACAGGAGACACAAGGATGGATTTACAGCACAAACACTGCAACACAGATATCCTCAGACTCTCCAGGGGGGCCACCAGATGGATTATTTTCCTCCAGGCAGCTCTCGGTCCTCATTCTTGGGTCTTGGCTACTCCTAAACCTTCCCCTCAGGCTTCTAAATTCTCTTTTATTTATACAGGGCAATTTTATTTTGGCCCAGAGCCTCTAAATGTGCGTATCTGCGCCCCTGTGTTTCCTGGGCCACCCTAAAATTAGAAGTACTAGGGGCTTGGAAATACGGTGTAAGTCGCTCATTTGCTTTTTCTCTTTCATACTCAACCCAAAAGTCTTGTCTGACAAAAACACTAGCTCAGGGCAGAGAAAATGAAACAAAGCCCCATCATGACCTGTGTCAGTTTGGAAAGTCTGAGCTTCTTCGTAAGGTCACTGGACTGAGGCACCGAGGACCAGGACCTTCGGATTCCACTTCCTGAAGATTACAAAGACCAGCTGGGAAACCTGTCAGACAAGCTCCTCTAACTTGTGCCAGTTTTCTCAACCACAGAACGAGAAAAACAAAGTAAGTCCTCTGTATTTCACAGGTTTGTTAAAAGGTTCAAAGGAAGGTGTGTATTTTTGAAAAATAACTTTTGACTTGGGTAATGTTTGACAAGTGTTACAATGAGGCATGTGCTGCATATCGTTTTTCTTTGAGGGCGAGGATTGCGAAGAGTATTTATGGTATAATCTCATATCTGTTTAAAAAAAAAAAGCTAAATACACTTGTCTACAAAACTGGCAGGATAAACAAAAATGTTTCACCGGTGGTTATCTACAAGATGTGATAAGGGTAAGTGAATTGGCGAAAGGGGGACTTTTAACTCTTTGAAAATGTTTGAATCTTTTTAAAACCAGGAGTACAGTATATACTATTACTAGGTTGGACTCTACCAAACAATTTGATTTTTTTCTGGGTTAAACACAGCGTGGTTCTGCCTGTCACACAAGGTGACAGAAGAAACCCTAATACCTCTGGCTTCATTTGTATCAAGGACTTCTATTTGCTCAGTTAAATTAGGGACAATCACATCCCAGTGATTCGTACTATGATTTTGTAATGAAATTCACATAAGGTACCAGCGCTTAGAGTATCTTTAAGCCATCTGACCCCACACTTCAGGAGCAGGGCTCATACTATACAAAAGGCAATCTTGCACATAGATCTATACTAGAGGGAACCTGACTGGGGATGAATGTAGATTTTTTCGGAGCTTGGGGTGGGAGGGTGGGAATATAAGTGTTAAACTTGAAAGAGAGCTAGAATCAGAAAGGGTGGAGGTGGTGTGAGAATCATCATTACAGAGATTCATACTTTGTGAAGGTATTTTAATGTGTGGTTAGTTTCTGTGTCCAATAATAGTAACAACAGTAACAATAATAAATATTTAAGAGGTTAGTTAAGAACTGAACACAAGCCTCGTTTTATTGAAGAATGGGATCTGGCTAGACTGCCCTCAGGCAAGTCCTGAGTAAAAGAACCGCAGGATGTGTCTGGGTCACATAGATTCCACTGGCTTTAAGCCTTTCCTTCAGCCCCATCAACACTGATCAGACACATGAAACGCAGGAGTCTGGGTGGGTGTGGCGCACTTAATGAGGACATTCTCTATGAGAAAGAGAAAAGAGCAGAAAGGAAGGTGACCTGCGTCCACCCAGGGCTGGATGAAGAGACCCTAAGGTCTGTAAAGGCGTAAGTATCTCCATGTGTAAGCCCAAATAAACAGGCAACTGAAAAAATTAGTGCAAACTCCACAAAATTCTTTTTCCCGTGACGGTTATTCTGAAGCTTTAAACAGTTTTATTTTAGATTTTTTTCCTCTTGAAAACCTACTGGCTCCCCAGCTTTGCTGGTGTCCTGGGCACAGCCTCGCCTGCCTCTGGTTCTCTGCTCGGAGGTGCACAGAAGGCGGGAGCGTCAGCAGAGGGGACCAGGAACGTCAGGGAGTTGAAGGACATAAGATAAATAAAGTGAAAGAATTACAAAGCCACAGGGACTCGGAGATCCCGTGTCCTCCCTCCGTCTTGGGCACGACGACTCGCCCAGGGGTTGGAGCTGGATCCCCGGGCGCTGCACCGCCCTTCGGACGCTCAGCCTCAGCCTTTCAAAGTAAGGCAAGAACCTTTTTTCCAGACAGCGAACAAAGGATAGACTTTGCTGGAGAAGGAGGCGGTGAAGGTGAAGATGGGCGCCTGGGTCTCGGCGTTGAGCAGGGCCAAGCGCCCCGCCTCGTAGTCCAGGGAGACGCCCACGAGGCGCGGGATCTCGCTCAGCGGCAGGTCGGTGCCCGGCGAGGTGCTGGCCCAGCACTGCTGGTGGGAGAGGATCACCGCCCAGACGCCCTCCTCGGCGCTCAGATCCTGCTTCCCTTTCCTCCTCACCTCCTCCCCGACCACCCCCACCGTGCAGCCGCCGCCGTCCCCCAGCTGCACCTCCACCTGCCAGCGGTGGCGCCCCGAGGAGAAGCCGGGGGAGCCCAGCACCACCGGGAGAGCATCGAAGCGCAGCTGGCCGTCGGGCAGGTTCTGCTTCCGCCGGGTGTACTTCACAGACTTCCTGTCCTCGGAGAGGACCAGGCTCTGGCTGGCGGTCTGAGGGTCCAGAGTGACAACCCCTATTGGGAGGAAGGCGTGGCCATCAACAGATCTGGCGGCACAAAAAATGCCCTTAGAGCACGAGTGCTGTGAGTGCGAGGCAGAAGGAGCACCGGCCTTGTGCAGCCTGCCATTGTCCCGGTTTCTCAGAACCTCAGTTCCCCCTTTTGTTCCAGGAGGCAGAGGATGACAGCTCTACCTGACCCGCAAGTGGTGCTGTGCTCTAAGGCTTTGCTTCTCAAAGTGAGGTCCATGGATCAGGGGCATCCGCTGTGCCTGGAAGCTTGTTAGAAACGCAGAATCTTGGGCCCCATCCCAGGCCTAGTGAATCAGAATCCACATTTTAACAAGATCCCCAGGTGAGTTTTCTGCACATTAATTTGAGAAGCAGAATGAGGTGATGTTTTAGGAATAGTTTCTAAATTAAGCACCAATTTAAAAGTAAATGCTATTTTAAAAATTGTTCAATATTTGTCCAAGTCAATAAAGAGTCCAGCACAATGCTGGACAAAAAAAAACAAACAAGCACTTGATAAATATTTTTGAATAAATAATATTTATACAAGTAACTAATATTAATTGAGCACTTACTATGTGCCAGGTATCATACTAAGCTTTTTGCATACATGAATTCATTTATCTTCAGCTACTTGTGGGGTGGTACTATTATATTTTCTATTTTATAGATAAAGAAACTGGGACAAAGAGGCTTAATGACTTGTTAGTGTCTCATAACGAACAAAGAGAACCCAAGCAATCGGGCTCCAGAGTTCATATCTTTAATTGCTCTGTTTGCTGCCTTGGATTGAAAGGATGAATTCACAAACGCATAAAGGAAAGAATGGCTCCCGAAGCCCCCAAGTGTTTACCTGTATCTGTTTCCAGATGATGCACCAAGTTTTCTGAGGGAAGCAAAAATAGAAAGATCTGTGACTTATTATTTCTTATAGGCACCCAAAAGGGCGGTGTGGCCTGGGAACAATGTGACATCAGGGACAGGAGAAGGCTCGGCTTCTGCTATGAAAGAGATGTAGTCCTCACCTTCCTGCCTCTCAGTGCAGTGCCCGTCCTTGGGGAGAGGAGATGCTCGAGGGAATGGTCTCCCTGGGCAGAGGGGGATCACTAAAGGAGGGCCTAAGGGATGAAAGATGTCTTGAGCCAGGTTTGGAAGGTGGGGAAAGATGGAGCTGGATGGAAGGCAGATGGGCAACTGATGGGAATGGGGAGAGATGCTGCCCCTTCCTGTTCACCTGAGAACGCCCTCATCATCTCTGGGAGGGTGAGTATTTTCCTGTGGAGATCGCGGATCTTTTCGACAAGGTCAGGAGAAATGGCCTCTGGACTCACAAAAGTCTTCACCTCATACCTGCAGACAAGTTGGTAACCAGTTAGGTTCTAATTCCAAAAATAATGTTTGGGTCATCCAGACCCAATGAGGCTAAAATCAGACTAAAGAATCTTGGCATCTGTGGTGAATAATTAGATTATCATCCCTTTATCTTTGCTGGAAATGTGTAGCTACTAAAGCAAGAGCATTTCAGCTAGACCTAAGAGGAACAAATGGTAACCACTCCTCAAGAATTAGGGGTAGGTGCTTTAAGAGAATGGGCCTGTGGGGACCAAAAGGGAAGAGATCATTAGCCTCTAGAGGGCGGTACAGTACCATTTGAAAAACAGCCTTACACAGTCTTTCTAATTTGTTGTGCTGTTCAGTACAAAGGGGAAGGGATTGTGCAGGAATGAAAAAAGGAGATGAAAGAAATCCTATACTGCAGTGAAAAAGCCCTCAATTCTGGTTCCAGCTCAGTCGTTGCTTGTCAGTCTCTGTGTGACCTGGAGCAAGCACTTCCCCTCTAGGTTTTAGCTTCTTCACCAGACCAGAAGACCTTGAAGGCCCTTCTAGATCCCAATCTCTGACACTCTTTGAAAGTATGTTTAGAGAACTTCCTGATTCAGGGACAGCTGAGTTCAGCCCCCCTACACATACATGGGCACACAGTATATGAGAAGTCTTCCCTAGCTGCTGTGTCTGCTCAGCCCACGGCAGACTGCTGATGCTTAGAAAGGAAAGGAGCCCTGCTATTAGTAATGCCTCTCAGCTGCTGGTTGCTGTCCTTTTATTGTAGCATTGGCAATTTTGAAGAAATGGGAAAGTTGAGTGGGAAAAATGATTGAACGAACAGACTGGTCTTCCCAAGTTTTGTGCTTATCATATTCTATACGAAATATTTCCCCTTAGGCTATTTATTTATTTATTATTTTTTTAGACTGACATTTTAAACGGTGTTAAATACTGACTTAAGCACTAATAATTTCAGGGATTAAATAAAATGTTCCTGGATCAGCCTAACGTAATTATTATTTATAACTTCACTTCTCAGGGAAAAAAGTGCGTCCCCAATACCAAACAATGAGTTTTGAAAGGAACCTTAGAATACAAACCTTAGTAAATTGGGGCTGTTTATGTATGAGTGGAGGAGAGAGTGTATCTGTCGGAGTGCCTTTGCTTTTCTGAGTAGCCACCTGTGGGGGCGGGGTGGGGGGAGTCAGTGAGTGCCCCTCCCCCTTCAGTCTCAATGTCAAGTGTAAAGCAGGTGGGACTGGGCAGTGGGCCCTACCTGCTCTGGTTGACTCCGACATCCTACAAAAGAAAAAGATACACTTAGTTTCCACACTTCCTTCCCATCAGGGATTCTGTACATCCTTTCTTCCTCAGCGTATCAGCTCAAAACTCTCCTCCTCCAGAGAGGTGACCTTTCTAATTACCTACTCATCAGACTGTTCATTTACATCATGCTTCCGTACTAATGTGGGACTGTGTTGTCAGTTCATTTGAGCTGCTTTCTCTGTCTCAGCCTCATCCTAGGAGTGTGTTCTGCCTCCAACAATTAGGAGATGGTGGTTAGCAGGGACCAGGCCTTCAGTTATCAGCCAGACCTGATGTGAAACAGGATAATATAATGATAATCACAACAGGCACTGTTAACTGAGTCCTTTCAGTGAACCAGAGACTACGCTAAACATTTTGCATGAATTTTTTTTTCACGGTCTTTGCAACAACCCTATGAGGGAGGTGCTATGATTATCCCCATGTTTAGAGAGGTTACAAGATTTGCCAATGTCACACAGCTAGATGAGCTGACGCTCAAGCCCTTGACTACAAAGTTCACTCCAAAGCCCTTGGCGTGACCATGGTGCGTGACATGGGAAAGTCATCCAGCCTTTTTGGGACTACATCTCCGTAACCTCTCTGGGCCAAAGGAACCCAATAACCATCAGTCCCTCTCATTAGAAGTAATCTCCGCTTCCCTTTCCTGTCTTCCTCCAGCATCTTCCAGCCCCCAGTATGGTGTCCCCTTCCTGTGGACTCCCTCTCCTTTCCCACGAGCTGGTGGGCTGTCTCTCACTTGCAGAAGCTCACTTGCTGGCTGCTGACACTTCTCTTCCAGCTCTTTGACCTGGGCTCCAAGCCGGGCGACTTCCTCAGAGAGCTTCGAGATATACTCGTCCCTCTCCTTCCAGATCTGCTGCTCCAGCTCTGTCAGCCTGGCCAGCGGGAGATACTGATATTCCCCCAGCTCCTGCTGCAACCTCTCAAAAGCCGCTTCCACCTGCTGCTTCTTGCTTTCAATCTGAGTCTACGAGGGGTAGAAAGACAGGCATGGTTAGGGAGAAGCTCACAGAGCTGGGTTCCCAGAGGATCACCTATGAACTTGATTAAAAGGGATAAGGAGTAACTAGTTCCAAGATTCATTCTCCCAAATAATACTGTGGTACAACGAGGTAGGTGTCACGATAAACTTACCAACGATGAGGGCGATGCTCTTGTCTCACCTAGAGATTCTAATAATAATGCACATTATACTCTCAGAGCCATGTTGAACTTTTCAAACATCCTTCTGTATCTGCAATACCATCCTAACTAACCCTCCCATACCATCCCTAGAGTCAGGTGGAGATGATCTCTTAGAGAGCAGTTGAAGCTAAAGGAAGCTGTGATTAGAGCATGGTGTGGCATTGTTCTTAGCCACCGAGGTTGCCATCTACAGGGCATATTTTGATGGGAGTTGAGGGATGCTGGAGACGTCTTCCTGTCCCCAAACTCTGTCTCCTTGGTCAAGGGACCAGAAATTCCCACACTGTGGATTTCCTCCCGGAAAATTTTGTAGCACGAGAGAAGAGATGGGAGGGAGGCAGATATCGCCTCACCACCAGCCTACTGTCCTCGGGGTCAGCCTTGTGGTCAGTACTGGAATGCAGACACTGATATACACTTTCTGGCCCCAAGCTTCCTATCTGAAGGCAATGCTTTCAGGCAGACAGACTGTAATGGGAAGAGCAATGGATTAGGGGTCAAGAGACCCAGGTTCTACCCATTTCATTATGAGACGGCTTTGCCGTCTGACCTTGGGAGCAGCACTTTTCTGGACATCAATTTTCTGCTCTGAAAAATAATGGCTGGCAAGACGGATCCGGGATTAGAAGATGTCAGAACCACTTCCAGCTCTCATGTTCTGGGATTCCATAACCTTGACCCCAAATGCCCTTCTGCAGAGGCAGGGAGGTGAATAAGAACAGTCAGCCCGTTCTTCCCAGCTAGGCAACGGATACTAGACAACAAGCTTCCCCAGAGTCTGTTAAGAAAACCCCTAGATGGGGATTTCCAAGTGGGAGAAATGGATAAATTGTTTTTGTTTACATAAAGTGAATTTTAAAAACAAAATGTCAAATAACTTTATTCTGAAGTTTGACTACACAGGTAGACTTATGAAACGCATTTTTGAGCACTAAACGGAGTATGGACATAATTTTCAAATACTACTTGAAAATTATTATTTTCAAGTAATAATTAAATTAAGTTATTAAATTAAATTATTATTTTCAAATGATATTATTTAATATTTCAGAAAATATTATTTAACATTGCAAGGTTTTAGGCCTAAAAAATGTGCCATTAACTTTATGAAATCCTACAGGTCATATTTTCTCAGCACTGGGAATAATAATTTTAAAAACCATCGGTTAATGTATAACCAATAAATACTACCTAGCTGTATGAAAATGGAACTTAGGATCATTTTAAATAGCTACTGGATTAGACAGAAAATCCAAACTGAGATTACTTTTACAGAGTCAAAGAAGTGCTAAGGAGGAAGCATTGAAACTAGAGACAAAAGACTAAATTCACCTAATTCTACCCAAACTACCTTAATGTTACAGGAAACAATGTATACATATGTCAAAACATCATGTTGTACACCTTAAGCATATGCATTTTTATTTCTCAATTATACCTTAATGAAACTGGAGTTGGGGGAGAAAAATGCACCCTTACAAGAAAGAAAAGAAAAACAGGAATTCTGGCCATGTACATGTGTTATTCATTAGAGTGGAGGATTATCACTTCAGAAATTTGTACAAAACATAAAAACACTTTCAAGAATTAAGAAAATAGTTACATTCTACAAATAACGACGTTATCATATGATATATGGGGGGGAGTGGTGTTCTAAATGAAGAAAATCAGGATTTCTTATAAGACACTGTTCTGTCACAAATGTCTGTGTGAAATATTTTACTCATGGATGCTAGGTGGATATTTGATGTTTTAGAACAAAATTATGTATATTCCCAAAAGTCATTTAATGCAGACAACTAAAAACTCTCAAAAGTTACAAGAATCCTTAAAATGCCCAACAGAGCTGATGGGAAAATTTGGGAGCTTCTTAGGACCAGAAGTAAACAAGAGAAGGATCCAGAGGAGTGATCAAACTGAGAAGCCAGTGTTCCTTCCAGATACTGGCTGATCACATGGCCCTCACTCCTGTGTGGACCATCCACCCTGCCCCCTTGGAATAAAGAAAGAAAGGTGCTGACTGGAGACATCCCAGATGTGGGATCCCCAAATGTGAGAACCGCAAGGAAAGCTCACAAGAAAATAAACTAACAGGATGAAGGGTCAGAAGAAATTAAACATCACCTAAACTTCAGATATTAGAAATATGTTTAAAAGGTTTAAAGACAATGGGAATAATAGGAAAAATAATTAATTTGAAAGAGCAAAAAAAAAAAAAAAAAGAAAAGTGAAAAAGCATATTTGGAAAACAACCAAATAGAAATCAAACAGTTGAAAATTAATTAAAAAGAAAAGAAAAAAAAAGAAAACCCCCAAAGGAGAAGGTGGCCAATAATGTGGCCTTTACCAGGAGCACTTGGAGCTTCCGGTCTTCCCGGCTCTTCATGTCTTCAATGTCATCTCTCTCCATTCTCAGGGCTTCCAGCCGACTCCTGAGACGGTCCTGTGGAGAGAAGAGTGGGCAGAAAGAGGTGGCTTAATTCAGAATTCAACTCACAGGTATTAATTGTCTGCCATGTTCTAGGCACACCGTTAAGTGCTGAGGAATTCAAAGGTGAAAAAGGCCCAGTTCCTGTCCCTACAAGACCACCATCGGGACTTCCCTGGCGGTCCAGTGGTTAGGACATGGTGCTCTCACTGCCCGGGCCCTGGGTTCGATCCCTGGTCAGGGAACTAAGATCTCACAAGCTGCACAGCACGGCCAAAAAATAAAATAAATAAACAAATAAAAATAAATAAATTAGAAAAAAAAAAGACCACCCTCTAGAGATGGAGTCGATCACAAGTGATTAAAAAACAAATGGACAGGGCTTCCCTGGTGGCGCAGTGGTTGAGAATCTGCCTGCCAATGCAGGGAACACGGGTTCGAACCCTGGTCTGGGAGGGTCCCACATGCCGTAGAGCAACTAGGCCCGTGAGCCACACTACTGAGCCTGCGCGTCTGGAGCTTGTGCTCCGAAACAAGAGAGGCCGCGACAGTGAGAGGCCCGCGCACCGCGATGAAGAGTGGCCCCCGCTCGCCACAACTAGAGAAAGCCCTCGCACAGAAACGAAGACCCAACACAGCCATAAATAAATAAATTAAATTAAAAAAAAAAAAAAGAAACTTGTTTTAAAAAAAAACAAACAAACGGACAAATGCAATAATCAAGGTGTGCACACAGTGAGATGGGAGCACAGTGGAGGGGACAATTCTGCCTGTAGGGACAAGGGAAATTTGTCAGAAGCAGAAACTGGTTACAGTGGGCCTTGAAAGATAAATTTCCAGTTGGGTAAGAGAGGGGGAGGAGAGTACTTAACGCTTCTGAACTGTACACTTAAAAATTGGTAAAATGGCTAAAAAAAAAGAGTCAGGGGAGAGGAGAGCTTTCCAGGAGGAAGGAACTGCATGTGAAAAGTATTAGAAGCAGGAAAGAGGGTTAATTCAACAAACAGCAGGTACATAACGGTCAGTTTGTCTGGACACATGGTGCCCGGGCAGGGTGGCTGACCGATAAAGGCAGGATCCCGACTCCAAGTGGCCTTGAATGCCTTGCTGAAGACTTGAGATTTCTTTGGGCACTAGGGATCCACGGAATGATTGTGAGCAGGGCAGCGACATTATGGGCTTTGTGTTTTGGGAAGCTCTGCCTCGCAGCAGATTGGAGGGTGAGGGGACAGGTAAGAATGCAGACAGGGACCTTGTTGGAGCCTCTGGGTGACAGATGGTGAGAGCCTGGATTCGGCAGTGGGGGAAATGCAGAGGGAAGGATGAGAGATATTTCTGGGGAGGCCACTTCCAGACCTGGTGACTGAGTGACAAGAGAGAGATCTGAGGGGCAGACAGGAATGCATAATGTCCCCAAGGCCAGATGGGCTGCTGTACAGCCACACCTCCCTTTCTCAAAAAGAAGAGCAGTGCTTGTTGGATGCCTTCCCCATCCCTGTCTTCCCTCTGAGCTCTGGCAGTCAGGGCCTTGCTAGACCCCATATCCAATCTGGATCCAGGGAGACAAAGGCCACCCTGCCCATGACCTGCAGGACAGCCTGCTCTCCTTCCTTCCCTAGAGAGTGAAGCCATGGCTACAATTCTCGGTGCTCCATCACCGCGAGGTCTTCTCGGGGCTGGAGCTGAATTTCTCCAAGACGTGAAAGGCCACGCATCCAAGTGGAAGGAACCACGTCCCCCTCAGTCTGAGACTGCCCCAGGGTCCCAACAGCCTTGGGGTCCCCTGATGTGGAAGCTGTGCCCTTCATGAAGATCCCCGCCCTATTCCCTTCACCACCTTGGGGTACTGTCCTGCCTCAAACAGCCCCAAGCTGACCCTACCTTTCTTACCCGGTAGGGCTGGATGGCCTCGTCCAGGAGGCCCACGACGTGGGCCTGGTGGGAGGGACCCTCCCGGCAGAACACACAGAGGAATTTGGCATCATTCTCGCAGAAGAAATAGATCTTCTCACCATGCTCCTTGCAGTAAGTCTCTGTCAGAGGGCCCAGGGGCACGGGGACCAAGAGGCTCTCGGTCTGCTGCTTCTCCTTGCAGAGGGGACAGAGCAGGACCCTGCCGGAGGGCTGGGCACCCATCTGGGAGGGTGGGGGGAGACAGTGCCAGCAGAAGGTGTGTCCACAGGTGGCGGTCACTGCATCCTCCAGGGGCCCTCTGCACTCAGAACAGGCGGCCCCTTTGTGGGAGGGGGTGGAGGGCATCATGGTGCCTTCCCCAGCCCGTCCACTGTGGCTTCTGCCTCAGTCCACATGAATCCTCTTTCCCTGAAATGGAGTCACTTTTACGAGTCACAGAGGGAAAGGAATGGGAGGCTGAGAGAGGGGAAGGCAGGAGTGTCCGGACAGAGAAGCCACCTGGCTCCACCTCTTGTGTTTCCCAGAGTCCTGGCCACCACCTATCAGCTGAGTGGGTCCAAACTCCAGGGCATCTCAAATTACCCAGCATTTCCCAACAGTGGCCCCGTCAGCCAGTTCTCCACTCCTTCTGGTCCCTCCGGCTCCTGGGGTGGGGAGCAGAGCACGCCATGAGGTCACAGGGAGATGGGGTTTCCTGGAACCCCTCCCTTGACCACAGTGGGGTGGGGGGAATTGAGGAGGAGACGCTGCTTCCTGTCCAGCTGAGCAGGTGGGAGCCATAAACTTCTGGCTTTGAGGTGTGCACACAGCAGCAAAGTCCAGCCGGAGTGGGAGATGCTGACTTCCGGGAGACTCTGTTCTGGGGGGCTCTGCTCAGATGCCGCAGGTGTGATGATCACTCACCGGGTCCCTTCCTCCGCCCTCCTTTCCTTGTCTCAGCTCCTTGACTCTGGCTGGTCTCTCCTAAACTCCTACCCCCCACCACCTCCCAGTGCCAGTGTCGCCACTGGAGCTTGGGTAACATTATACTTCAATTTTAGTTTTTAACTGCAGCGGGGAGAAGGCGAGAAAGCATAACACGATGTTGATATAATTTAGAAAACTCAGTTAATCAAAAAGATAAACAGGTTCAACCACATTTATCTAAGGCTTAGCATTTTCATATTATTACATCCAATCTGAAAACAGTGCTTGGGGGCAGGTGATGATTACAGGAAATGTAAACTGAAAGGTAAAGTGACTTCCCCAAGGTCACAGAGCTAGAAAGTTGCAAGGCTAGGGTCAATCCAAGTCTCCTGGCTTCCAGCCCGTGCCCTTCCTGAACTGCCAGCCAAGACAATGATCAAACAGCCATGGTTCTTCATCCACTCACATTCATCTGTGGATAAAACCAAGGAAATGTCCTTCCATTCTCCCACTGGATGATCAGCACCCCACCGTGTTTTGCTCCCTTTCCACTCCAACTATTTTGTACATCACCTACCCTCTGCCCCAAAGAGTGTAGCCCCTGGAGCTGCACTGTCCAGCACAAGAGCCTCCAACTGCATGAGGCTGCTGAGCATTGAGCTGTGGCTGGTCCCATATGTGTAAAATATGCCCCTTCTTAAAGACTTAACACCAAATAAAAAGGATGTAAAATGTCTCATGACTAATTTTTCCTGATTACATATTGATACTATTTGGGGCTAAATAAAATATTAGTTAATTTCACTTTTTACTTTTTAAAATATGGCTACTGGGAATCTTTTAATTGTACACGTGGCTCACATTGTATTTCTGTTGGACAGCACGGCTCTGAGACTCACAGATCTGAGTGTAAATTATGGCCTCCCACCTCCCTACCTGTGTGCCTTGAGCAAGCTAAGTAACCTGGCTGAACCCAGCTAATATCTTAATAGCACCAAGTTTACAGAGCAGACAGGAGGAATAAATAAGATCATATGTTTAAATTGCTTATGTTAGCGTGAGGAATATGGCCATCGTAAATAAATGATGGCTGTTGTTATTCTTCTTTCTCCTCCCCCAGACAGAGAACATTCCAACCCCTTTGGAAGCCTACGGCAGGCCGGTTGGTGAAGCTGCTTGTGCCCTGTCTCACCACCCCTGCCCTGGGCACAGCGCCTTATCTGGGTCCCCACACTCCCCTGGGTTGGCTGATACCTCCAATCTCCCTGGAGACAGCTGGTCATACTGCAGGGAGGCTGGGGTGGCATTACTGCTCTGTGACCCAGTCTCCCCCCTGCTCCCAAAAGAAGAACAGTCTCTTCCAATTGTGGATGGTTAAGATACGACCACTTTCCTTCTACTGCGAGTGTCTCTGGATGGACGGGAAAGAGCAGGAACCCCCGGGTCATGGGCACCAGTCCAGAGAGTAACTGAGGTCACATCTCTGGAAAGCTGTGACTGCTTCTTCTGCCCTCCTCCACTATTTCTCTGTCTCTGCTGTTGGACGGTGTGTGTCTGTTCTTTTGGGAGGGGGACAGCAGAACCCTGACTGCCAGAGATGCAAGTGGGTACCTTGCCCTGTGCGCACACATATGTGTGTGTGACCATGAGGGTGTCACTGGGTATGTAAGATGCCCCTGTGTCTGGCCATGTGCACATGTAGGTGTGTGAGTGTGAGGTGTGTGTCCTCATTGTTCTCCCATCCCTTCTCCCCAAGCTGAGCAGAGAGGGTGACCTTGAAGAGGCCACAAGCGCAGCAGCAATATGGCCTCGGCTGCCTCTGTGACCAGCCTGGCAGATGAGGTCAACTGCCCCATCTGCCAAGGGACCCTCAGGGAGCCGGTCACCATTGACTGTGGCCACAACTTCTGCCGCATCTGCCTCACCCGCTACCTTGAGATCCCCAGCCCGGACCCCGAGGAGCCCCCAACCTGCCCACTCTGCAAGGAGCCTTTCCGCCCAGGGAGCTTCCGGCCCAATTGGCAGCTGGCCAGCGTGGTGGAGAACATTGAGCGTCTCAAGCTGGTGTCCCGGCTGGACATAGAAGAGGAGGACATCTGCCCCGAGCATGGGGAGAAAGTCTACTTCTTCTGCGAGGATGATGAGATGCAGCTGTGCGTGGTGTGCCGGGAGGCCTGGGAGCACCGTGCCCACACTGTGCGCTTCCTGGAGGACGCGGCTGGGCCCTACAGGGTAGGAAAGGGGAAACTGAGAGGTTCCCAGGGTGGGTCTGGGATTGGACTGGACTGAAAGAATCAGAGCAGAGTTGTGGATTATTTGGGCCACTCTGAAACTTAATTCCATCTCCCTGCTTCTGTGATTACCCAGGCAATAGACCCAGGCATGGAAGATCATGTGTCTGTGTTTTAAGTATGCCCTATGTTGTTTACTTATGGCCAATACATAATAATAGCTCAATAAATACGTGTTGAATGAATGAGTCCATGAACGTATGTGTCTGAACCATGGATCAGTCAGGTGTGTCTGAGGATGTCTGGGTTTGCACTCGAGGAAATGATTGCACAGTGTGTATGTGTATTAATGTTTGCATGTTTACCAGCATGTGCAGTGTGTTTGGGGGGATCTGACTACTTGAGTGTGTATGTGTAACTGAGTACTCGTGTTTGTAGGTAAATTAGTGTTTACATATATGCAGGTTGGGTAAATATATATGGTGTATAATTTTATCTGTCATTAAATGAGTGTGTGCTGGCTTTAGCTGTTTATGCATTGTGTTTTATTACAAGTGGGAGTCTATGTATATGTGTCAATTAGTTAATTAGCATGTATTGTTAAGAGTTCTAAATATATTTTGCAATGTGCTTATATGGACATTGATGTGTGTATGCCTGTTCTTTATTCTACAGCAAGCAATTTTTGTTGTTTGTTTTTGTGGGGGGGGGCGGTCGGCCACATCTTGCGGCATGCAAGATCTTAGTTCCCCAACCAGGGATCGAACCCGTGCCCCCTGCAGTGGAAGCTTGAAGTTTTAACCACTGGACCATCAGGGAAGTTCCCTAGAGCAAGCAATTTTTAAAACAATTCATTGGTTATTTTTTGCATTATCCAAGTTTCTTGTTCCCTCCAGAATCATACCCAGAAAGTTGATTCCATTTATAAGAGAGCTTGTTTGGATGTGTTCTGTTTGGGATATGTGAGAAAGTGGGGATAATTTCGAAGAAGGGCATATCAAGCTCAGGACAGATCCTCAATACCATTCATTAAAGGCAAAAGAAGTTAGGGTGTTTAGGCTGAAGACAGGAAGGCTCAGGTGAGAACACAGAGTCATAGCTTATGATGGCACAGAGCTAAAAGCGGAAAGCCCTAATCAAAATTCTTGGAGGACAAAACAAGAGGAAGAAGACCCAAAGAGAGTAAGCTGTCAAGGACCATAAAGGCCCAGGCTTTGTCAGCTAAGAGGACGACTCCTTCCCTTGGGTCATTCCATTCCTGCAGGCAGAGATGACATCTCTTAACAAATCATTGTTTCCGTCTTAAATATTTTTTAAAAATTAATTGAAGTATAGTTGATTTACAATGTGTGTTAGTTTCTAGAGTACAGCAAAGTGATTCAGATTTTTCAGATTCTTTTCCATTATAGTTTATTACAAGATATTGAAATTAGGGCTTCCCTGGTGGCGCAGTGGTTGAGAGTCCGCCTGCCGATGCAGGGGACACGGGTTTGTGCCCCGGTCTGGGAAGATCACACATACCGCGGAGCTCAGATTTTTCAGATTCTTTTCCATTATAGTTTATTACAAGATATTGAAATTAGGGCTTCCCTGGTGGCGCAGTGGTTGAGAGTCCGCCTGCCGATGCAGGGGACACGGGTTTGTGCCCCGGTCTGGGAAGATCCCACATGCCGCGAAGCGGCTGGGCCTGTGAGCCATGGCCGCTGAGCCTGCGCGTCCGGAGCCTGTGCTCCACAACAGGAGAGGCCGCGGCAGTGAGAGGCCCGCGTACCACAGAAAAAAAAGAAAAAAAAAAGATATTGAATTTAGTTCCCTGTTCTGTACAGTAGTAGGTCCTTGTTGTTTATCTATTTTATATATAGTAGTTTGTATCTTCTAATCCCAAACTACTAATTTATTCCTCCCCCCATCTTAAATATTTTATGCTCCTTCTTCCCAGGAACAAATACAGAAGTGTCTTGAGTGTCTAAGAAAGGAGAGAGAGGAGATTCAAGGAATTCAGTCAAGAGAAAATCGAAGGATACAAGTCCTCCTGGTAAGTCACCATCCCTTCCCCGGTCCTCTTCCCTTCCTCAGGGTCCAGTGCCTTTCTGAAACCAAGGCAACATAGCATATAGGGCTCTGAAGTCATTCTGCATTTTTGCTTTATTATTTATTTATTTTTGGCTGCATTGGGTCTTCGCTGCTGTGCGTGCAGGCTTTCTCTAGTTGTGGTGAGCAGGGGCTATTCTTCGTTGTGGTGCGTGGGCTTCTCATTGCGGTGGTTTCTCTTGTTGCGGAGCATGGGGTCTAGGCTCATGGGCTTCAGCAGCCGTGGCACGCAGGCTTCATTAGTTGTGGCTCATGGGCTCTAGAGCGCAGGCTCAGTAGTTGTGGCACACGGATCTTCCCAGAACAGGGCTTGAACCCTTGCCCCCTGCATTGGCAGGCGGATTCTTAACCACTGCGCCACCACAGAAGCCCCATTCTGAGTTTGAATCCTGAAATGAATTAGCTCTATGACCTCAAACAGCTCTCTATGCTCAGTTTATTTTTCTGTGAAGTGGAGATTAAAAATTATCACTATCGGCCGTCCCTGGTGGCGCAGTGGTTGAGAGTCCGCCTGCCGATGCAGGGGACACGGGTTCATGCCCCGGTCTGGGAAGATCCCACATGCGGCGGAGCGGCTGGGCCCGTGAGCCATGGCCGCTGAGCCTGCGCGTCTGGAGCCTGTGCTCCGCAACGGGAGAGGCCGCAACAGTGAGAGGCCCGCGTACCGCAAAAAAAAAAAAAAAAAAATCATCACTATCTCACTGAATTGCTGTAAGGACAGTAATGTACCTTAGTGCCCCGCACATTGTGTGCACTTTGTGAATGGCAGGAGGTGGGGTGTCCTCACCTCCTCCTGGAAATGGCATGGCAGGTGTAAAGGAAACTATGCCATGGTTCCAAGTCTATCTGGGAACCCGGGGAGTGGGGGGCTCTGACTTTACCACCAAACCTTGGAGAATGTGGATCTGGAGGGAGATGGGAGTGAATTAAGGAAAAGGAAGTGGAGGAAGAGGAGGGATAACTTCCTGCCCTCTCCTCCTGCCCCCTCAGACTCAGGTGGCCACCAAGAAACAAAAAGTGATTTCTGAGTTTGCACATCTGAGCCAGTTCCTGGAGGAACAGCAGAGCATCCTCTTAGCCCAGTTGGAGAGGCTGGATGGGGACATCTTGAAGCATCGGGATGAGTTTGATGTCCGGGTCACTGGGGAAGTCAGCCGGTTTAGCACCCTCATCGAAGAACTGGAGGAGAAGGAGGACAGGCCAGCAAGGGAGCTCCTGATGGTGAGATCTGAGCCCCGCCCCCGTCCACCTGTGCTCCCCTATGATTTGCTGCATCCTTACCTGTCTAAGCCATCTCTTCTTCACTCACACATCCTTGTATCCCAAGTGGAAGATGGGTCACAGGACCAGAAGTTCTGAATTCTAAGAGTCCTTGCTGCCCCAAGAGCTCCCTGGTTGCTTTGCTCTCTGGTCTTGGTCTCTTCATCCTACCATCCATCAAATAGGGGAGATGCTTTGTTTATTTATCTCAAAAATAGTTTATTTGTGAGGATCCAACAGTAAAATGCAAGTGAAATTAGCACTCTGAAAAGCATCAGGCACTATGCAAACAAATGTTAGGTGCTATTTCCGAGGCAAACTATTCTCTGTGTCACCACCCGCCAGCCAGGAAGTTCTTCTTGTTCTGTTTCTCTTCCTCACACTGGAGGAGAGATACTGGGGTCCCAGTTAGGCCTCAGAAAGGCAGCATGATTTAGGCGGACACGCTGGGGACTGAGAAGCTGGAGACATTGGGATGGGACTTGCCTTTGCCTCTAAGGGGCAGGTCACTTCACTGTCTGGATCTTATAAAATGAAGGGGTTGGGCTCTAAGATCCCTGAAGCCTCGTAAACCCGAAAACGCTGTGACTCCATGGATCTGGTGTCCTTTTTCTATCTAGGGTTGAGAATATGGTATTTCGTCTTTTCTTTTGGGAGGGAGAAATGGAAACTGAATCCCTGCTTTCTCTCTCTTTCTCCTAGGATATCAGAAGCACTCTAATAAGGTAAGATTTTCTCTTCTCTTTTCCCACATACATAAACATACACGCACCACATGCTGGTTATTACCACACAAATATACATTCTCACATTAAGGATAACAACTAACATGTAAACTTTCACATACTCAAATGCATTCCCATGTACAGCCAGCTGTAGATACACACCCCTGCCTGACACTGCCCAAGAGGGGACAGTGTGGGGAGGGAGTGGGTCCATCCCGGAGGAATCATGTCTGTCCGTGGGAACTGGCACCTCCAAGACAATTAGAAGGTGACCAGCTGAGTCTGGAGGCATCACCAAGAAGGATAATTCCCAGACCCCGCCATTTCTGTGCCCCTAGATGTGAAACCAGAAGGTGCCGGAAACCAGAGGCTGTATCCCCTGAGCTGGGCCAGAGGATTCGGGACTTCCCCCAGCAGGCCCTCCCTCTGCGAAAGGAGATGAAGATGTTTCTGGGTAAGAGGACCCCACGAAGCATAGGTGGCTGTGAAGCCTGGATTTAGGAATGGCCTCCATGCCCCGCTGCCCGACGTTTGTGTGACCTTTGACAAGGCTGGCACTCTCCCAGTGCCTTGGTTTCCTTATTTGCAGATCTTTATAAAATCTGCTTATCAGGGTGTGACAATGAAGTGAGATAATAAAGGTGAGGATTTCCGGAAAAAAATGTAACTGGTTTGAAAAATAATGAAACAAATAGATCGAACCATTTGCCATGAAGTGATATACAAGATAATGATTAACAAAAACTGTCATTGTCAGTAATTTTGAAAATCCATAGGAACATTTGTAATACATGATAAGTTTTTGATGATGAACATTGTTAATTAATAACCAGCAAGGGTATTTCTCTGTGCCCTGTGGGAGCTGACTTCCCTCCCTCCTCCTCTCCTTGGCTTCCCCGCCCCTGTTAGTTTGGTCCTCAGTGTTGAATTGCCTCTGTGGGGACTGTGACCCCGTTTTCCGGGACAGGGAGTGGTGGTAGGAGAGGGTGTGGAGGGTTTGAAATGAGAGTCAGGAATGTGGCTCCTCGCCAACACTTCCCTCTCCTACGTGACATCACGAATGATGCCACCTAGTTCTAAATGACCCACCCACAAAAATGTCACCTTAGAAGAGCTTTCCCCCAAGTCCACTTCCTACAAGTAAATGGCCTGGCGGTGAAGGAAATTTTACTCTAATCAAAGGCTGACCTTTGACTATCCCCAAAATTATTTCCAAGCAGAATGAGAAATAAATTAACCCACTTATCTGTTCATTAAGTCGATGTTTCTTGAGCATTTACTGTGTCCTAGGCTCCGTGCAAGACACTGGTCACTGCCCGCTCAGAGCTAGGCAGTGCGGCTCAAAGTGGGGCAGCGTCAGCATCCCCTGGTAACTTGCCAGAAATGCGAATCTCAGCCCCACCCCGGGCCACCTGAATCAAAAACACGTGTGTTTTAGCAAGTGTTCTGGGGACTCTGATGCAAGTTCAAGTTCAGAACCACTGGTCTAGAGGATTCCAGCTTCCATTCCTCTCTTTGTCTCTTCCCTTTTGGGGCCTCAGTTTCCTCATCATTAAATGTTCTATGGTTTGCTAAGACTAATGAAATCGCATCCTGTTTTATTTCCTCTTTACAGAAAAACTCTGCTTTGAGTTGGATTATGAGCCAGGTAAGCAGCCTCTGTCAGGATGGTAGGGAGTGAGGATTCTAATCTTGAAATGGGCAGATAATTTTGCAGGGTTCTACACTGGGCACTGTAATAGTCAAATACATATATATCACATATATAAATATACATATACACATAATGTCACACGTGACACTGATATGTATCACTGCCTTTGTAATGCTTGTGGGAGAACCATGAAGAAGGGACAGGCACACACACACACCACATCCCTGGCAGGAAGCTCATGTTCTGATCTGCACGTGATGATGGGATAGAAAGATTAAATCAGAATGGGACAAGGTCTATCGGGAAGGGCTTCCTGGATGAGTGGAATTTGATCTGGGTTTAGAATCACATTCTTAGAATTGTCAGGACCCCCTACTGTCTCTCAGGTGTTATTATATTTCATAGATGATAGGAGTGCAGCCTGTAGGTGGGAAAGGAATGAAGAATGGACCCCACTCAAGGGCACTGTTCCCAGTCTATCAGCCGAAGACCCTGGGAAGTCACAGAGCTCTTGGCAGGGACTCCTAACTCATGGACATATCTGAATTTATGAATTTGTCCCAATTTATGGATACTCAAAGTAACACCATGCAGGGGTCCGCAGAAGTTTTTTTGTTAAAAAGTGATCCTCAGACTCTGCCTGATTTTAGAATTACTGAGGCAGAATGAATAACCCGTGGGTGAGCCAGAGAGTCTGTGGGGAGTGAAGACTGTATAAATGAGTCATAAGTGCCCAGGGAGTGATCATGAAGTTTGGACTGAGAGAAGAATGTTTCCACCCTCCGAGATACAGGAGGGGGAGGACGTGATGTGTCAGCAGCAGGAGAAGATCAGAGCAGGCATATGCCCAGCTTTGGGAGTCAGCCAGTTGGCAGGGAGAAGAAGTGCTTTCCAGGGGACGACACAGAGCCAGACCAGAGCCCGGATGTCCGAACTAACGAACTAACCAACTAACGCATCCTCTGAAGCAGGCATTAACAAGCACAGGAATCAGTTGCGGATCTTGCTAAAATGCAGATTCCATCTCAGGTGGTTTGGGGTGGAACCTGAGAGTCTGTTACTAACAGGTTCCCTGGTGATACCCATGCTGCTGGTCTTTGTAGGCGCTATATACCTTGTTGGTAGTAATGCTAACGCGGGTGTCAAGGGGAGTGTTTAGGCCTTTCCTGAAGGTGATAGCATGTCTGCTGACATCTGTGGCCCTTTTGGTTTTCCCCACAGCTCACCTCTCTCTAGACCCCTGGACTTCCCACCCGAAGCTCCTCTTGTCTGAGGACCACCAGCAGGCTCGCTTCTCCTATAAATGGCAGAAGTCACCAGACAGCCCCCAGCGTTTCGACCGGGCCACCTGTGTCCTGGCCCATGGTGGCTTCACTGGGGGGAGACACACGTGGGTGGTGAGTGTGGACTTGGCTCCCGGGGGCAGCTGTACCCTGGGTGTGGTCAGTAAGGACATCCGGCGGAAGGGGGAGCTTCGGCTGCGGCCAGAGGAGGGGGTGTGGGCGGTGAGACTGGCTTGGGGCTTCGTCTCTGCCCTGGGCTCCTTCCCCACCCGCCTGGCCCTGGATGAGCAGCCCCAGCAGGTGCGTGTGTCTGTTGACTACGAGGTGGGCTGGGTGACCTTTGCCAATGCCGTCACTCAGGAACCCATCTACACCTTCACTGCCTCCTTCACCCAGAAGATCTTTCCCTTCTTTGGGCTCTGGGGACGAGGGTCCAAGTTCTCCCTGAGCTCCCTAGAGGGTGCAGCTAACCTCCCCTAAGCACAGGGTCCAAAGAGAGGACCCAAGGACTTGACCCTGGCTGGGTCACCTGTAAGATTCAGAACAGTAGTTACTGCTGTAGATGATGTAATAGAGTCGGGACTTTGGCAAGGGACAGGTGGGATGACCTTCAGTCTGCTGATCAAGCCCTTTCCTCAATGCCAGTGGATGGGACTCAGACCACTGCCAGGCCTCCTCACCACCATCCCCACCAGGCCCAGAAGTGGCTGTGTTGAGGAAGGAATACCGGATTTGGGGCCAGAAGACTTGGGTTCTAGATCCAGCCTTGTAATCAACGAATTATATGATCTTAAACTAGGCATCTCACCTCTCTTCATCTTGTTTTCTCCCCCCAAAATATTAGAGTTCATTTACTCATATCCTTAAGAAATATTTATTGTGTGCTAATTATGAGCCAAGCAGTATGGTAGCCACTGGTGATATGAAAAGAAAAAGAAAAAAAAAAATTTGTCCTGTATCTAAAGGAGCTCAAGAGAAGAGACAGAGACATAAGGAGGAAATGACAGCACAGTGTGATGGACGCTGTGTTAGGGGTCTGACCTGGATACTGGGGAAGCCAAGAGGAGGGGCATAACCCATCTTGGAGGTAACAGGAGGTGAGTTGGAGAGGGCTTTCTGGAAAGGATGAGTCTAAAAGATGAGTATAGTGAATGATGAAAGGAGGGGAATAAGCCGCTTAGGAAGAAGGGACAGCAGAGAACTAGCTGGATGATCTGTGACCCCGGGGACACTGGGTCACCTCCACTGTCCTCACAAACAGATGTGCTGCCACCCCCACTCTTGACACCACTCAATGCCTCCTTCTGGCTGAGATGAAAATGCAGGGCCTTGGTGGGAAGGGCACAGGGAAAGTATTGCCATAAGCCACAACCCAAGGACCACACTCAACCCCTGGGGAAAAGCGTCTTCCTGATCACCATCTGAGGTTGAGAAGTGAGACGAAAGGAATGAGATGGTGGAAAGGACTGAGTCTCAAATAGCTCAGCTGTGGGAGCAGAAATAGCACCATCGTAAGTTCTGTGCTAGGTAGAGAATCCCAGGTGGAGGCAGGAGGTGAACTGCATGACCTGTGACTTTTAGCCCAAAACATTGGAACTGCTCTAGGGCTGGACAGGAAGTGCCGTCTGAGGGATGGGGCAGAAGAAGGGAGAGAATTAGGGATTTGTAGATGTGTGGGTTTGGGTGGTGAGCCTCAGGGAAGCAGGTCGCATTGGCAGAAGCTGTGGCCATGGGTGGTGTGAAGAAGTTGATTATCCGTGACTCCAGAAATCTCCCTGCCCGGTGTGATTCTGCGACAGGAACAAGCACTAGCACGTGGCTGCCTAGAATTTGTCAAATGACTTCCCTCGTCCCAAGGAATTTAAAATCCTATGCATAGGGGCTTCCCTGGCAGCACAGTGGTTAAGAGTCCACCTGCCAATGCAGGGGACAGGGGTTCGAGCCCTGGCCCAGGAAGATCCCACATGCTGCAGAGCAACTAAGCCCATGTGCCACAACTACTGAGCCTGAGCTCTAGAGCCTGTAAGCCACAACTACTGAGCCCACGTGCCACAACTACTGAAGCCTGTGCACCTAGAGCCTGTGCTCCGCAACAAGAGAAGCCACGATAATGAGAAGCCCGCACACCGCAACAAAGAGTAGCCCCCGCTCACTGCAACTAGAGAAAGCCTGCACACAGCAATGAAGACCCAACACAGCCAAGAATACGAAAATAAAATAAATAAATAAATTAATTAATTTAAAAAATCCTATGCATAATAAAAGCATTGTCTTAACATATTTTATTTTCTACTTCTTATTGGAGGTGTCATTTATTCTGCTTAAACATACCCTTTACTGTCAATCTTTTTAATACTATGTCTGTTGAATCTGCTTGGGTGTAAACTAAAATGTTCTATCATCTCCCCACTGAGGTCCCTGGGAGGAGCAAACCATCCAGGTGCAACCTCTAAGGGGGTGAGCACAATGTATTGAGGCCCAGGGTTTGAGGTCACCACAAAAGTTCTGTTGTTCATCCTCAGTTTAGCAGGTAGAAAAGACGTGGAGACCAGGAGCCAAGGATCGGAGGGAGGTTCAATTGCTTTCCCTGGGAGTGTTCAGTATTTCATATAAAACATATATTTAAAAAAAGACACACACAAGTCCCTAAATAATGCTAAAACATACCCAAAGCCCCCAGACTTGGGATTCCAACAAAGAATGGATTGTATTTTTCTGTTGAGTTTTTGTAGGTTTTAGCTGGGTCTTTTAAAATGACTATTAGCCTCAAGGGTATATATGTATGAGGATCCTGGCCTGTTGGAGGTCTTTACATGTATTATGTCACTTAATCTTGGTAACCCCACCAGGTAGCTCCTATTATTATCCACATTTTAAAGTTAAAAAGCTGAGGCCAGGTGAATTTGGGTTACTTCCTCAGCCAGATCAGGCAGCCAGGATTTTGATCCATGTCGGACTTAAGAGTTCTTAACTACTGTGCTGCCTTGTTCAGAAATGTGTGCCTTGGTGTGAATAGTTTACTGCTGGCCACACTTCCCATGAGGGGCTTGGATTCAGGAAAAAAAGTTATATTTCTTACACTGAGAAGTAAAACCGCTAGTGAGTGAAAATATTCATGTTGGTCTATCAGCACTTGCTCCCCTCCCAGGGTAATTTTACTTGAAATTCACTTGTTTGGATTGTGGAGTCAGCGCAGAGGAAGTGGATAGATCCTAAAACATGATGACATCAAGATAAGGCAGCTCCGTGAGCCTCCATGCTCTGCTTGTCACAGAGCCTGAACTCGGGGTTCCCTCCCCCAGGGAAGTGCTGGAGTCCAGAACCCCAAGCTCCCAGTCGCCCTCTCCAAGACTTCAAAGGAACCGTGCACACCTGTTGGGACGTCCACAGGTTTAGCTGACTTTTTCACAGCTTACACTGTAGCAGCTTTTTCTACTACAGGGAATGGAGACTCACTCAAGTTAGTTCAAATATTAAGAAAGATTATTATAAGATTGGACATGCAAATAAGGAAAATGGGATTTTTCCACTGTTAGGACTCAAGCCTTGTGGGAAGCTCTGGTGGGGTGGTGGGAGTGGTGGGAGATACAAGTAGTTCCCAAAGGAAGAATTGGAGATTTTAAAATGCTAATAATAATAATCAACACATAGAGAGTTCACTCTGGCCAGTCACTGGAGTAAATATTATTTTATATATTAACTCATTTAATCCTCACAACAACCCTATGAGGTAGGTACTATTATTAATAGCCCCGTTTTGTTTTTTAACAGCCCTGTTTTATACATCAGAGAAGTGAGATGTATGGAGGTTGGGTAACTGGTCCCACATGAGCAGCTAGTAAATAGCACAGCGATAATACACATTAGACACTAGACATTAGACAGATGGTTTGGCTCCCAAGTCTGTGCTCATGACCATTAAGTCATACTGCCTCTGTACATCCAAGAACGGTGGGAAGGGGACTTGAGGCCCAAGGCAGCTTAGAGACTGGACTAGCCTGTGGCCACTGAGCAACGTGGTCAATGACACTTGCTCCAGGACACAGTCACGTGTGTGGCTCTGATTCCCTAGGTTGCTGCTCTTCCTGCCAACCAATGTTGCCTTCATCATAGATCCATTTTGAATTTCTTAGAGAACCTAATTATCATTGTCTCTCTTTGATAAGACCTTTCTCAGCAGGCCACCTTATAGGCTCCATTGGCCAACCATCTGCTGGTCAGATGCCCACCTGGCCTGATCATCCGCAGTCACATCAGAAGAGGACAGAGGGCCTGGCAGGCACCTGCAGGGTAACTGACACTCCAGTGGAGACGGACCCTCAGAGCTTGTCAGTCTCCTCCCAGTGCTGGTAGGATGCTTCTGGACAAATTCTCTGTTTGACGTTAACCACAGCGAGGACACAGGAATTGTTAGCTGTCACATGCAGGGGTGCTCTTTCCTTGGCTAATGTCTTATTCTTAGATTTGGGGTCTCACGTTTCTCTGAGACATACAGCTTCCTGCCTAGTAGCTATATCCTTCTTTTTCTGAACATCCACACTAGGCACTCTCTCCTTCCCCTCCCTTAACCCCCCGACTTCCTGCCCCCAATCCATCTGGCAACAAGAGTCCAGACTGGTTTTCCTTAAACACCACTTGTTCCTTTCACTCCTGACTCAAAACCCTTTGATGACCGCCTATGTTTCGGTGTCACTCATCTAACCCTCTGCTTGACTTCTGGTCTTCCCCATTCCCGAATATTCCAGACTAACTGGGTCAGTCTTTTCGTACACCTACAAGTGTGCTGAGGCTTTTTCCTACCTCCGTGCTTTCATCCGTGGAGCTGTCCTGACCTGGATGCTCTCCACCTTTCTCTCATGCCTGTCCAACTCCACCCCCACGAAGCCAACGCCGACTTTGCCAGCCTCACTCATGTCTCTCCTCTGAATCCCCACTGCCCTTAGCAACTAGGACACTTAATAACCCATCACACACTCTCTTGTTATTCCATCTGTGTTTATTCTGGTTCCTTAGCTAGATTATAAGCTTTTGGCTGGACACATAGAATAAGAAGATGGAATTAACACATTTAAATGTTTCCAACGTGTTAGGCACTGCAGCAGGCATATATAATAACATTTAATTCTTACAACAATCCCAGGCCATGAGTACCATTATCCTCATTTTAGAGGGGGTAGGACTGAGGTGCAGAGAGGCTAAGTAACTTGTACAGGGTTACAGAGGTATTAGGTGTCAGGACTGGGATTGAACTCAAGTCTGACTTGTGAGTTTTTACTCTTTACACCACAATGCAGCATCTCCTTGTAGGCATGTTTTTTTTTGTTTTTTTTTTTGTTTTTTTTTTTCTTGCGTTATGCGGGCCTCTCACTGTTGTGGCCTCTCCCATTTGCGGAGCACAGGCTCCGGACGCGCAGGCTCAGCGGCCATGGCTCACGGGCCCAGCCGCTCCGCGGCATGTGGGATCCTCCCGAAACGGGGCA